TGAAGAGATGGCTGGAGCTGGATTTAAAGGAAGAAAAACTGGCAAAGGTTTATTTAGAGTTTCTAGAAGTGTGATAACCCCTAATTTTGCAATTGTTACAAATGCAATTTCCAAAATGAGGATACTTCAATAGAAGGAATAGGCGTTAAAATCGGTAGCTTAGTCTTATTATCCTTCGAAATTTTCATTAATCACTAAGCACTATAGCCTCAAAAGTGAGTCAGTTTCGCTCTTTGTAAATCTGTGTTTAGTTTCTCGGAAGTTTACTCACTGTCAGTTCATATTTTGGTACTTTTCTTTTTGGGTCCGAGTAGAATTTCGGGAATAGTTTTAAAAAGTTTTAAATTGTTTTTATTTTCATTAGGCTAGCTGAGGAATAATTTTGGTTCCTTTAATGCTTGGTCTCATTAGAAAGAGCATTTCTGAGAAAAAAACCCACAGTTAATTTTCTAAGACTAGTCTTTACGATTAGATAGCTTTAAGAAGCAAATTAGTTGAATTTGGACTCAAACTGAGAACTGCGAGGAAAATGTCAAAACGGATTATATGTGAGTTGTCGCCTAGCACGCATTTACATTCGGAGCTTGATGCCCTAAATTATAATGCTTTCTAAGCAAAGGTTACAAAGAAATCAGGATCAAAATGAATTCCGCGCCGAAATTGCGCAGATTTTCATACAGAAAGTCTACGCTAGCTGGGAAGTCCTACGTTATATCTGCAAAAAGTCAAAGCATCTTCTACTACCAGAAGAAAAAACTCGAAAATTGAAAAAGAGTGACCTTTTCATTAACCAAGCAAATTTGATTGCTGCTGTACTTTTTCTCTGAAATGAAAACTGATTTATGATATAAGATGGCAAAAATCAGAACTAAAAATTAAGAACTTTCTGAACTCATTGCAGTTTGAGAGATTTTTTGAATGATCTCTGTTTCCACATCAAACCGAAATTTTTTTCCAGCAAGCCTGATGTCGTAATCTTTTTTTTTCGTCTAGTTAATACTCATATTCATTATATCATTATTACTATCAAATTATCTACCATTATTCCATCTACTCCCGTGATGGTCTACCGCCTCATCGTGGCGCGGGGGTGACTCTGTCGAACTGCGAAGTACAGTGGATGTTTATCCTCCAGCAGGGTCTCCCAAGCTGAGGAGGAGTTCGACGTTTCCGGTTTCCCAGATGCCCAGCTAAGAGTAGGCCATGCCAGAAGCGCCACCGTCTGGCTGATTCAAGTCGCTAGGTGGCACA